ATCATTAAAACGAATGCAATTAGTTTAAAAGTCCAAGCTCGAAATACTGCATTGTCATTGCAGTTTCAATTTTTTGCCGCCAATTACGATGTCGTTGCAAAAATCTATGCTGTAAATGTATGAATTATAAATTAAACCTGAATAAATGCCAAGAACATACACTATATCTCTATTGAAATCTTGACTGAATGTTCATAGTCATCCCATATAACTATTACATTAATGTTGCGGCCTATGCTGTTTAAGACGAGCTCAAGCTTATTCAATTAGCGAATGTCAAGTCATTGTTTACCCATGAATTTTCCTTTTCAAGGTTCAAACAGTCCGTCTACTTTTATCTATATAGATATCATCATCGCTCATTTAAGCTTCAGCAGATTCTTGCTCACAAACGGTGCGAATACGTTCGATCCTTGATTCATTTCGGAAAGCGAAAGGTTTTCTTAATCCCGTGGGAGCAGACTGCGTACTGCAGGCTCGAACGAATACTAATCCATTACTGACAGAAAATTAAAATTAAAATTTGAAATACCCATACTGTTATTAGATATTTTAAAAAAGATTTTTTTTAAGGAGTTAATTAATAGCCTAGTTTTGATAAAATGATTTAATCGATGAATCGAGCGCGAGTAATAAAAAGCCCACACCATGGACTTGGCGCAATACGCATTTCTTTTCTCTTGTCGGAAGTTACTAGTCTCGTGGCAATTGGATCTTTTGGCAATAAAACACATCCCATCTCATAAGCGGTCATAAATATTTATAGCTGCTTTTCCGATATTCGATTTGCAATTTCTATGTATCTCTCTTTATTCCCAGTACTTATACGCGGATCTATCGATATAATACAAAGTGTACGTTGCGTGCTGATACGTAATGCACACTTGTCCGATACGCTCGCGTATGTCTGTGTGTGTGTGTGTGAATTTACGAATCGCCGCAATTATGAGCGCAAACGAGGAAAGCCGAGAGTTTTCTTGTCGTTAATATATTGCTTCATATGTGCCGCGCTCTTTCGCTTATTATATATATGAAATCGTCCGCGGAAAGAGTCGAAGATCCGTTGTCACTTTCAGCTTCTTGCGATTTCCGGATTCGTGCGCGTATTTGTAAAAGCTGCACTTGATTGAAACGATCTACTCGTAGCGACTACATCCTTTTTTGCTGCTATCGTTGCAGCATAGTCGTTTTTTACCGCGAAACAACCTTCTAAAAACGTTCGATAGCCGTTGCTCTTAAATTGAAAAAAATCTTCATGATTCATTTGCAGAAACTCGTGAAATATTTTCTTGAATGAAGTTTGAAAAATTAAGGGGATTTCAAGACGCGTACCTGGATCTTTCCCAAATGGTTTTCCTTTTCCTTACATGGGAACCTAATACGATTTTCTACTTTTGCCTGGTGAGCACAGTTAAACATTTGAAAAATAACCATCAATATATATTTTTTCCAAAATACCGCGACGAAGTTAAGTAAATTGCACGAATGTATGTGCTCTTAAATACCTTTTTTCAAGTCGAATAAACACGAGGAAAATTTCTCGATAACCTTTTCATTCAAGCTTATCTCCGAGATCGCAGAGCGCAAAAAATTGTAAAAAATGTCGAACATTTATTTGGTGCAGCGGCAAATAACGGCTCAAGTCGAAATACATCGACGGGCCATTCGCACTGTAGATCATACACTTGTCCGCCCGGCAACAACTGACTTCCCAGAAACAACCAGTACGACATTGACCGGTCTCGTGCGCGCAATCGACTTATACAGTAGTAATGATATATATTAAGCAGCAAAAAAGAGACTCGTTTTACTCGACGATAACCACATATACAGTAATACTACAATTATACATAATTCGCTTTGCGGTTCATTCATCTCGTGGCGCGTGCATTCGAGGCAGACAAACAAAAGACCAATGGCCTGCCCCCGTCCGCATGGATCGCGAGAGAAAAGACGACGAATGTCGCCGTTGACTAGTTTTGCTACTTTGTCAAGCAGCAGCAGCAGCAGCCGCAAGAGTGGAAGAAAAAAGACGCGGCCCAGTCGTTATTGGACGTAGCGAAGGGTTGGAAAAAAAGCTGCTCCGCTCGCTCGCGAAAGGGAAAGTGCATGCGTGTATCTGCCACGCGGGATCATTGCGATCGCCGAGCAAAAAATACTCACCTATCGCGTATTTTTATTTGTTAAACTTTTTTTTTCTTTCTCTCTCTCTCTCTCTCTCTCTCTCTTTGTGCAAAGCTGTGCCCAGTGCGTAGGTCCGTGTATGCACACGTGTACAAGAGTAGCGAAGCCACTGCAGCACGAGCACAGTTCGAGCGAGTGAAAGGAGCCGATAATGCGGCGCAGTGCATTTGTGTACTCGAACTTTCGCACACGCAGATGTATTTATTTAAGCGCGTGTATATGCTCGACCACGAGGAGCACATGTATCGGTAATGCACGCACATACACGGGCCTTCGATGCGATCGATTCGATTAAGCCGCGCTCGCCACTGCTCCAGCGTAGAGTATTCGTGTATTGTACTTATTAACGATGGGCGCAATCGTGAGATAATCGAGCGAGCTTGATACGGCCTTCGTTAAGTAGCCGCATCCTTTTGAGCAAGAATAAACCGCCAGATCTTGATATACGACATTGTAGCTTCTCGTGGGCCGAGAACATATGTGAGAATGGGTGGTCGTGCCTGTTTCCGCTAACATCCTGCATTTGTGACGCGCCTCTGCTCTTGTTCCGTCGCGCTCGATAATTTTGCAAAATTTCGGCGAGCGTCATAATGACAGCCTGCCTGAATTAAATCGTGCAGCTCGATAATTACATTGTGCCAGCCGCGCGCTAGGCGCTGCAATCAACGCGTCTCCCCCCCCGCTCGCTCATATTTCTCGCCGCGCCGGAATATCGCGCCGATCGAACGCGAAGAAAGTATAAAAAGCATATTACGTGATTTTATTTATAATGTAATTATCATTTGCTTTCTCATCTGCCAGCGACGCGACTCCGGGGATGTTGCTATAATGTAAGATCAGGTTGGCCGATATGCGCGCGACCAATGCAGTTTCACACTCGCCTCGTCAATTATATGCTAATGCGCGCAAGTTCTGTGTGCTGCATAAAAGCCGCGAATGTACTTGTGTGGCGAAGAAAATTTACTTTCGGTGCTAATACTTTTTGTACTTTGCCAATATCCCCGGCTCATTCCAATAATGCACGTATATAATACGAACTCAACCGAGCATGGAATATGTTCGTTTTTTTAATTTAATAATTATTATTATGACTCGATGGCGCAAACAAAGTAATAAAGAATCTAATGAGCTGAAATGTTTTGACTTGAAAATTAAAACAGTGCAAGATTATAAACTTTCTATAAATAATATAAGCCTTTGAAGCGTTAGACCGTTGTTTTTACATAAAAATTGGTACAAATATAAATGGTCGACATGCTCGAATTGTCTCGATGAAATATGTATCGATCGTCGTCGAAGTGATCGATTACAAGCATTTTCAATTTGTATCAATCCAACGAGGAATATAATTTTCCAATTAATCGACCGTTATAAAAGCCTTTGGTTTACGCAGTTCGGCCACCGAGACTGAATTAATGTTTTGTCGATCGCGAATTAAACTCTCCGCGCGATCTAATGAATAGACGTCTTGTTGGCTGCACAGTAAACTACGTACAGGCTCGTCGATTCGTATGCTTTTTAATACTCATTCCGATCGCACGGACCATTTGTGGAGATGTAATTGGCCCGACGCAGCGTTTAAAATCGTGCACCTGAACGCGACTCTCGTTAGATGAGAGTAATGCGAACACGCGCGTACTTTCGTACACGGCACTCAACAAGAATACTTTCAATTTCGTTGCAGGGATCCAATAAGCGCGTAAACATTTCAGTACTGCGTGTACACTCGCCGCTTTAATTATTATTATATCCGTGGCACGTAAAAACACCTAAATGAATTTACGATGGTACACAATTTTGGATTAATTTCACACGCACGCATTTCCTTAATTTTTTTTACTGTCATCGTTGCGAAGTGCCTCGAGTACGAGCCAACTTGAAAGCGATGCGCTAACTTAACGTCATAGCTAAAATGAGTCATGAAAGTTACATGAGCCCCTCTTGGCTATAGATATCATTGGCTTCTATTATCTGCCAAATAGAACGAAAGTATGAATATACATGCTGGGTTTGTATGAAAGTGATAAGAATTGAGTGATGTAACGATCGGGGGCTTCATGCAGCGCATGTACAAATCGGCATACCATGCTTTGAATACTAAAAGCATTATTGCCTACTAACATAGTTTGGGAAAGTTTGCTCAGGATTATTCAGGTGCTGACTGCTGTTAATGTTTTTTGTGGCATTAATAAAACTCATAATGAGTAAAAATTATTTAAAAAATTAGTGGCTCAATTGGATTTTTTAAAAATTTTTAGAAAAATTGATTTTATTTTAATTTGGTAAGTTATTTAGAAATTGTTGATATCAGGGATCATAATTTTTATAAATTTTCATATGTAACAAAAGGACTCTTTAATACAGAGAAAACTAATGGTCAATGAACAGCCAGTGGTCTTTTTTGCACCGAGAGTAAAAGATTATAATTTTCCAAGATAAAAAAAAATAATTTCACACTTATTAATATACGTAGCGGTTTCCTTGAAAAATGAACAATGCAGTCCATTCGAACAAGATAACTAATATTCGAGCATAATAATGGCGTTCGTTACGCAAGCGAAGAAAATGATTATTGGTGTTTGCTTATTGTGAAGTGTTTTATGATTCTTCGTGTAGTTTTTGTCCGTGCACACATATAACTGCGTGAGCACATGCCAGGAGATCGACGACGAGTTATTATGGAAGATCGTTTCTCTTTTGCGGCCGCGCGCTACAATGTTACATACGCCGGCGCTGCAGCACAGTATACATATACGCGAGCGCGCGCATGTGCCGAGATTGATGAATCAAACGTGCTTGAAAGGATTTTTTTTCTCTCTCGAGCCCCGGCCGAGTGCCGAGGAGAAACTTGCAGCGTAGTTTTGTCAAATTATAGGAAGTCTGCCAGACAAAAAAGCGACTCCTCGTTTAGTATATATGCGATATTAACTTTGCAATGTGAGTATTATTAAGCTTACGTAAATACAATTTTATGCATATTTCAAGCTCAATCGTCATTTTTCTGCCGTTGAAATAAATCGGTTTGACTTTCTTTTCGAGCCTTCAACTTTACCCACGACGACATTGAACGGCGAAAAAATGTTTAACCGCACCAAATTGTGTGTTTGTCGCGCAGCTGCAAGCAAACGACGCGTTACAACAATTTTAATATAGAATGACCCAAAAGATAAAGCGTGTCTGAATTGAGCCCGGAGAGCGTGCACGATACAGTCTTCGGTGTGCGCAGCAGTTGCTCGTTCCAGTGCCGCGGTGTGCTGCAACTATGGCCGAAAAAAATCTGATGCACGTCGCTGACATTTTGACCGGCGAGGAAATTACAAAATTAACAAACCAGTTCTTTTCCACGAAGGATGCTGAAATCTTGTCCTGCCACTTGCAACCTTTCTCCGAAGAGCCTCTTGGTTACCTAGCCGTCCACCAATTACTGAGGATCGAGGCGCGAGTCAGCTCGGACGATAATTCTAAAAAGCGGCTGCTCGAGTTTTTTGTCAAGTGCGCGTTACCGAATCGACGCCCGTACGAGCGAGCTCTCTTTCGCACAGAAGCCGAATTTTATAAAAACCTACTGCCGCGCTTGCTGCGGGATAATAATTACGCGAGCCGAGAGCCCTGGATCGCCGAGTGCCACCTAGTTAAGGAAGACGTTTTGATTTTGGAAAATTTACGACATTACGAATTGGCGTCGTCGCTGCGAGACGATCACGTAACTGCGGCTCTGACGAGCGTGGCTCGTTTGCACGCCGCCTCGATGTTGTGGGAGCTGAGACACGGTCGCCAATCGCTCCAAGAGGTCTATCCCGGCGTTTTCGACGAGAAGATATACTTGAAAACTGGATTGGCCTGGAAGTGGCTGCTGGCCGGAATCGAAGTTGCCGAGGCAGTTGCGCTCGATTTGAAATTAAGACCCGAGTACATTTTGAAAGCTTACGAATTGACGATCGAGAGGGTCAAGCCCGTAAAGAAGCAAAACAACGTTATATGCCACTGCGATCTTTGGTCCAACAACATGATGTTCAATCAAAGCGAGCCGTTCAATTGCGTCCTCGTTGACTTCCAAATGGCCGCTTATGTCAACGCCGCGATCGATTTTCAGACTTTTATTTATTTGAACACGACGAGCAAAGACCGACGGGATAAGGAGAAACAATTCATCGACGTTTATTACGACGCTTTAGTTGACAATTTGTTGCTAAATGGATACGATGAAAATAGCATAGTTTCGAAAACGCAGGTATGCCAAGATATCGAAGATAAACGCGTCTGTGGTCTGGTATCGGCAGTGCAGTACTTCCCGATCGCTCTCTTGAGCAGAGAGTCGGCCAAACTGTACGAGAAAGACATCGAGAGATATTCTTACGACAGTCGTAAAGATTTCGTGCTGCGGACAATGCAGTTGGATGCGAGTTATCGCGACAGAATTGAAAGCTCCGTAAGAGATTTAATCGATTATATGCTGAAAACGGAGAAGAATGGATAATTGGTCAAAATTGTACTTGTTGTCTTACTTGGTACTTTTGTGCTATTTTAGTGTGATAAAATATAAAAATAATTAAATGATCAATAATACAGAATCCGCTATCTGCTGATGAATATTTTTTCATAATAAAGAAATAAAAATAAATGTTATTCATATAGTTCTTTATTTCATGATCAAATGTCGCAAGGGGTCAATAAAAGTTATATACTATATTATATTTGTGATGTTAAATAATTTTCCATTTTTAGTTGAGATAGAAAAGAAAAGAGAGAGAATGCAAGTATCATCTCAAAGTGATATCAGATCTTTTGCATCGTGCAAATTTCACCTCGAGTCCGCATATAGAAGCGTCAGAAAGACACATCTCTTGAGTACATAATAATTGCCTGGATGTCACATGTTTATCCGTGCATATATCATTATCACGCGCATACATCTCGTAGTTTATAATTTCGTAATTCGTCAATTGTAATTAAGACAAATTGATTTCGATGCGCATACTAGAAATATACATAGACGAGCGCCTGTATAAAATATAAATGTGTTATAAAGCCGATGCAGAGTAGCACGATTCGCTGCTCGCACGACTCCTAACTCGATCTGCGATAATCCAGGAAATGCGCGATTCGAGGCTCTCTCGCGCGCCAACCTGAAAGTACTACATAAGTTCGGATTAAGCATTACGTAACTTTGATCGGATGTAAGAGTCCGAAACTTTCGTCGGGCGGTTTACTCGTGCAATAGCACAACATCAGCAGCGCCAGCAGCAGCAGCAGCAGCAGTGTAACGCAACATCTTCCTGGTGAGTCTCTCTCTCTCTCCCTCAACGACGCGAGTGTGTGAGTACGATATGCGAGCTTATCTAATATTTATCGCCGCATGCAGAGCGAGCCGAGCTATCGCGCCGAGGCGCACAAGCAGCCAGGCAAGCGCGCTGCAATTTGCGATCCGAGAGACTGACTTTCGTGCGAGCGCGCGCCATGGGTACGTAATAAGCGCGCGAGTGTACATATAAACTCCACGCGGAGTGGATCCGAGCAGCCGAGGGAAGCTGCACTACTACTGCATGCGGCTACACGCAGTTCAGAAGCCACTGCAGCCGCGCGGACTTTTTAGCAAACGGTATACGCGCCGAGTGCCGCTACTATATACGGAGCTGCTTTCGCAAAGCCCATATTCTTTTGCGGTGGCGAGCAGCGCACGGCTAATAAAATTAAACACGCAATTTGCGCCTAGGCGTTTCGAGGCTTTGTTTGAGCAGCTCTGCAACTGCCGTCGCTGTTTACACTCTGCGACGATGACTAATCCGATGCCTCGCTTGCGAATGCATTTAAGAACGAATAAAACTATGTTTTGCACATATGTTCATTAAAACAACAAGTACATCAGACAATGACTTTTTTTTTTAAATCTTCACAAATGTTTCATTCACCGATGTTTTTTTACGAGTTTACACCGCGTGTCAATTAATCGGCATACATACACTCGCACAAGTTGAATATTTCTGCTAAAAGTCATGAAAAGCACTGAATCGTCAAACGAACGACTACTCGATACTGCAAAGGCTCAACGAAATTGTTTACTTTTTTGCTTATAAAGGCACATTGTAAATGTATATAACGGCGCTCGCTCCGACATAATGCACACGCACACAAGAAAAGCTCGCGTACATTACACGAAGACGGCCACGATAATCATCTCGTTTAGAGCGTCGCTTCTCATCATTGTGCGCTCGGAATGTTATGCTTCAGTCTATAAGAGACTGACAATGATGAAAGCTAAGCAAGGGATTTTATTCGTTTCTTCGCTGCGTACAATACGGTGTGCATTGTAACAAGATTATTTTTATTAAAAACGCCGCGGCGATGGATGTAGGCGCGCGCGATCGCGAGTGCTTTTTTTCCGGTAACGCAGGTATGTAACAGTACATCGCGCGTATTGCACCGAAAACGGCGAAAATGTCGGAGCAAAAAGTTGAGAAAAAAACTCGCGGAACGAAATTACTCACAGGTGTCTTGATTAACATGTAGGTATGACGGACACGCGTCGTACACGTAAATACGCGAGCCTTAAAATTTCAAATGAAAAAGCGGGAGGAAAAAAAACGAAGAAACAACAACACGACGCCCGGAGCGCGAGGATGTAGTCAAATTCCTTTTAAAATTCGCGAGACGCGCGCTCGAAAGATGGCAATTTTCACTCTCACCCGAGTGCGCCGCGATCGGCCGTACATAATATGCAACGCACTCCAGCAGCAGCGGCTTCGGATGTATACATACGGTATATATGCGAGCTATTGCACCGACTATGGTCCAATATTATCATTACTGCATATCGGTACATTCTCGGCTTCTCGTCTCCCTTCTTCGCGCCAAGCGCCTCTGCAGTTTGTATTATATTATACCTATACGCAGACTTTCCCGTCGTCGTGGGAAATGAGTTTTATATACGCGCGCGGATTATATACACCAACGGGGATCTTCTCGCAACTTCGTCAACGTTCTATGTGTTTGTGAGTGTGTGTGGATATAAGTGCGCTCATACACTCGAGTGCAATGATGATTTAACAGTAATTGGATATCGAAAAAGAGAGAAACTATGTGCGCGTACACGATGATGCGCATAGAGCGCCGAATGATGGGCACCTTTCCAAATCGATTATTATTCCTGCTGCAGTACGCGTGGGCGCATCGTACATACCAGCAGCAGCAGCAGCAGCTTCGACGTAAACACAATATTATGTTGTAACTTTTCTTTGGATTTTCGTTGCAAAGTATACGATGGAGCGCAGCAAAGAGTCGGAGCTGATTCGCAGATATCTAAGCCGCGAGCGAGTTCTGCCAAAAGAGACACGTGATTGTTGCTCGAGCTCGCGATATATATGCCACTGAATCCCCGAGAGCTATGCAGCGGAATCCGTTCGTGCGCGCGTGCACTTTCACCTCTGCGGTAGGACTGCAGCTGCAAAATGCGAGGCCTTTTTTTGTCCAAGGGCTGCGAATTTCGATACCGTTATTAAAATCTTCACCGAGGTTCTGCGCAAAGTTACCCGTGGAATTTGATAGTTTTTCTGTGCTGCACTTTTTACTACCGACCGAAAGATCATTTTTAATTGATCATGAATCGAAATAATTGCAGGAAAAGGATGATGAAATGCATAGTTGATTTAGCAAAGTTAAGGTCAAGTACCCTCTTTTCTTCGTTTAACATGTGGATAGTCAATTGTAATTCGGCATTGATTTTTATGGCTTATCAAGGCTCACGTTGTTGATTGTCAGTTAATAAGGCTAAACGAAAGTAAACAAGCCGCAGTGAACGACGTCTCAATTCGCCGAGAAGAAACATACAGAGACCAGAAGCTCTAACGCCTCGGAAAGCCGCAATTTTGAGCGAGTAAATTACACTTCCTTGGTTACGGCGACGGCGAGCAACTGGAACGCAATTATATGCTAGCCCGAGAGAGACCACGAGGCTCTGTGTACTCGGTGCACCTCTCCGGCACATGCACATATATGTGACTGCGGCCTGGCCGTATATAACGCGCGTGTCCTGTGTGCCAAAGCTATATAAGAATCGCGGGCAGTTAATGAACTTCACTTTCGTTCGTCGTTCGCCGTTGTATATACGTGTATGCTTGCAGTATGCGCATACGCGTGTGAGCTTGTACATGGCACCACACGGACGCTATACACGCATACGACGTACAAAACGCAGTCGTTGTAGTGGCGTTCCGTTACGAAACGGAAAATATAATAACAACGAGTCTGCGCGAGCTGACGATCTCCTCTATATTGTAGAGAGTGAGAGTGTCTGGGTATAACATGTACGAGTACACGCACACGCGTGCGCGATTCCGTACCGATACGAGAGCGCTATATATCGTTATGTATGCGGGAACGAGAAAATTGGAGCTTGTTTAGCTGTCACGTGCGTGCGGGGAACCTATCATTAGCGGCCTAAAGCCTGCTCGAGCCGAGAGCCGAGACAGGGCGACAACTTTTCAAGGGGCTCGACCAGAGTGTTGATGGGATTTTCTTACATCTTTTCACCGAATGTTTAACCGTCTGATATGCTTGCTTGACAAGTTGTTACGAACAAATGGCGAGCCAATTAGAACTTGATAATACTCTGTTAGTGATAATTTAATTCATATCTTGGATTAAGAATCCTCTTCGAAATTGTTCAGATTCCTAGTGTATCATATCAATTATTGCTTGGCCTTTTTTTAGATCTTGTTGAACATTTTATACCGACATCAACAATGAAATCGTGCATTTGTAAACTTTTGTACGCATATTTTTCATCGCTTTGGAGAAAAAATGCACAAACGAGACGTTTGTGAAGATTTGAGTTCACAGAGGTTCGTCGAGCACAGCGCCATACAAAATTGTTTCCCATTGCCTTTACTGAGGCGATAAAATCACAAAAAAATCCACGTTCACGTAAAGACAATGAGAATAAATTAATGTATTTGTGTGTTTATTCAGTTTCTTCAAAACAACTTGGTTTACAAAAAGTCTTTCGCGTAATCAACTCATGCGTGCTTTTTATTCGAGCAATATGCTAAGGGTCCGGCGGATTTTCCATCCCCAGTTTTTCTCGACACCATTTCCTTGATAAAAGTTACGAAAAAGAGATGCGCACGTCCGAAACTTATACGGACATAACAAGGAAAGAAAGCAAATTATGTTTTACGCTGTTTGGTATCTATGTCTCCTTGCAATTTAAAAAATATTCCTTTGCTAATGTTTTTAAAATTAAATTAAATTAGAAAACCATTTAATCATTTACTTTAAACCAAAAATGTCTTCTACATTTCTTCAAAATTAGTAAAAGCTCTCATAATTGTTTTCGAATTGCATGAGCGCCAAATAAATGTTTGTGTGCGGGTGGCACCTTTTCTAATCCACCACTGATTGTAAGATCTTTGCATTTCATTCACAACTATAATATTTGAGGTAATAAAGTTTATCGTGACAGCCTCACTTGAAGCATTAAAACATTCGGTAAAAATACACGAGTTCTAGCATAAAATATTCATCAATACGTGAGTAATTAAGTTAAGCAAATAAAATTACATGATGAGACATGACCGCGAATCAATTAAGTGCAAAGTCAGTAAAAACAGAAATGGTTTACGAGCGTTGAAAAAAAGTGTCAGTTTCACGAATACTTTTGAATTTAGTCAATAGACTTTCCCATTGGATAATATCAACACACATCTGGTTTGAAATATTTAAAAGCTCGTTTAGCGCATACAGAAGCGTATAGTGCACACGTATGAAACTGGCATTGGACGACTTTCGATCGCGTAAGAGTGCGAGCGGCCACGATTTTTCCCGCGTATTTATATGCAGCGGAACGCCAGCCGCGCCCGCTTTCCACACCATAAACTGAGTCTTGACCATGATATATAATACTGGGTATATTTCTTTCTCTTTATTACACGTCATTTCTCGAATATTCGAATTTAAATAAAAATATAAATATATGAGCTGCACAGCAAGTTCAACGGACTCTTGCTCGATCTGTACCTAAAGCTAATAAAAAAAGTAACACCGATTATAGAGATTATAGAACACCACTTATTAATTCAGTAGCGTCGATATTTGACATTGCTCTGCATCTTCAAAAATCTATATATTAAGTTTTTGTTTTAAAAAATCTTTCATTTACTATAGTTACTGATAGTGAACGAATTTGTAATGATGATAGCTTCGTATAAAAAACAAGTCCTCTCTTAGTTGGTTTCCCAAGCACATTAAAAAATATTATTAATCGAATTTTAAGCAAAACCCAAACATAAAGCCTGCTTTTATTTTTAACAAAAAAAAATACCAGAGTTTTGAGTTCAGGTTTATCTGATCGTTCTGAAAGGACTTTTATACTTGCCATAAACCAAGAGTACGAAACCAAATTCAACTAGACGGTCGTCAGAAGTTTGAGTCTGCTTGTTGTATTGTAACACATCCCTTATACTTTACTAATCCACTTACTCAATAACTAACTTATTGTGATTGTAAGTATAAAATTAAAATTCAGTTACTTAACCATAAGGTGCAATTGCAATTCCTTAAAAAAGTTTTTATTTTGATTAAATGTTCAAGTGTACCAGACGATATCAATTTGATATTGCATGCACTATGAGCGATATAATTACAACTCAAATTTATTTAATAACTCCTCGAGAAAATTATGTAACAAGTTGTTCATTGATTACCCCAAAGCTTAGTTATAATAAAAGCCAATAATGGACGATCAAAATAATGTGCATGTTTGAACTTTAGCCTCGTGAAATATCATGATTAATAAAAGTGAATTATCCATTTCTCATTTGATAAAAATTATATGTACTTGTATTCCCACTAATAATATAAATATTATGCATATAATTGGCGCTTTCTTAACACTTGAACGATGTTGTAATATGTTATATAATTCTTAGATTAGATTGTGTTAGATGATGGTAAATTTGAAAACTACATAACTTTGAAACAGATACCTTCAAAAAAAGGATAAAAAATTAAAAGTTTCGTAACAATATTTATAACTGGAATTAATATTACATTTTAGTTTTTCCTTCGCCTATAATACTTTTAGACGAACCCTACTTGACGAGTTTCTTTCGTGACATCAATGCTTGTCTTGTTGCCGTTTTTCAGGCGCTTTGCGCAGATAACTTGTTTTGAATGCAGTTAAGAATAATCCATACATCCAAAATCATGATTTACTTTTTACCAATAGTTCTATCATGCAAAAAAAGTTACCGCCTTAATATGAGCTTGTACTTTTATTAAAAAAGAAAAAGAAAGAAAAGATAAATGCTTACAATATTACGTTACTCTCTGAGGGAATTAGTAAGAAAAAGGTTTTTTTAGCTCCGGTAATGGAAAAATGGGTGAAAGTAACAATATTAGACAGTATACATTTTGAGATATTTTATTTCATTATTGAGTGCTCACATAAAGAAGAGTTTTACGTTGAATTAGACATGATTCGGCAACATAATCTGCAATAAAAATTTTAAATCCCATAGAAGATAATCAAAAATTTTATTATATTTCATGAAAATAAATTTAATCATTATTCATATGTTAACATTATAGTACAACAAAATTTTTCTTAAAAAAAGTTCTTCATGAAAATGTGTATGTGCAGAATATTGGAAGATTTACTGGATTTGCTTAAGATTAGACATAAATAATAGTGATGAACAGTTAATTTAACAGTCATCGACTTTTATTTTTTATTGGTACAATTTATTAATTTTTTTGTATATTTGAAATCTGTCTCTATGAAATATCGAAATTAACTTGATAATTTAAAGCTTGTTAAAGCATTACGAAAAATATTCACACCGAGTATTTGTTTTATCATTTTATTACACTTACCTTTGCGAACACATTTTCTCATCGAGTTTATCTTCTGCATACTCCTCTAGTTTGACCGTAGTTCACGACGCAACGTGGTTGCTGCCTTGGGCAGTCACGATTGTTACGGCAAATTCTTTGAGCTGAGGCAAGATTGGTTTGACCCAAAAACACCATCATAGCTACCAAAGCCATGTAGAAAAGAGATAAAAATTTCATGGTTGTATTTTGTTGAAACTCGTAAATGGAGATCGACTGTTGAATTCATTCAAGAGAATCTTTTTATACTTTTCCCGCGAGAAAATTTTCAATCGCATATCTTATTAAATAATAAGGAAAAAAAGAATTTAATTATCCAAATATAATAAGGAAAGTTTTAAGTTTCGATGAAAGTCTTTGTTCAAAGACTTTGTTTTGGGTAAAAAATATCCGGCAAGGTTTGTTGACAAGCCGATTAAATAAAATGTCGTCTAATTTAGTGCTGTATTTAGCTATCTACTATTTACTAAAAAAGACGATCTTGGAACAAATCATTTAGTTGTAGACTTTATAGTATTTTCTGTTTTTATGTCGTAAAAAACCGTCAAAATCAATTCTTGATTTCCACCATGATTAAAAATACGGCCAATTGATGGCCAAAAAGCTTCCTGTTGACAAAATAATAAATCTGTTTTCTTGTTTTAAATGAATTCTCAAAAACTTTTAAATTTTAGGCACCTCTAATCTATAGCAAAATTTAGTTTTTTAAGAGATGGCACCTAACATAAATTTTGTTAAATAAAGGCTGAAGGTATTCTCAGTGTCAAACTATATTTACTTGTCGACTTTTCTACGTTAATATTGATATTGTTGACATTTTTTCCAGAAAAAAACGCGTTCAAAAAACGTCTCTTATAATTGTGGATTGTCTTATTTAATGAAAAAAAAAAACGGTCCCGATACATGGCCTTGTCTTTATAAGCCAACTATATTCCATGTACCATTGTTGGCTCTTTTTTTAAGAATTTTTAATCGTATTAGAGCTGTTGGAGAAATAATATTCGTATTATCATGCTATATGCGGCTTTGTACAGGCTAGGGTGGGATTGGTTTTTTATGCAGGACTGCAACACGCAAGTTTGGCATGTTTGTCCATACAAAACATAGAATTGGTAATAAATTCAATCTAATTGGTATGAAGATATGAATTATTGGTAAAATCTCTGAAAATCGCTCGATATAATATAAAACTTTATAATGAAATAAATGACACTATTTGTAAAATACATTGTATTTATTTGTATTGAAAAATATTCAATTTCAAGTGTATAAAAATTCTTACTTTACACATCCAATAAAAATTATTTACAAAATAAAATGAGTCATTCAATTGATTATCTTTCAAGAGCCACACATACAAACTGTTTGTACTTTTAAAGTATCAACTCACTCGTATTTGCACAAAGATTATAAAAGAAGTCAATTACTTGCACTTATCAACAACCATCTGTTATTTATACCTATTTTTTGTTACAAAAATGTGAAATTAACCACGTATGACTAAGTTTATTATTTAGAGTTTGGATATAATCTACATCCAAATTGTTACAGGAATTAATTGCACTGCATTCATATATCACTGCTATACAGTTGTACTTATAGTCCCACCATCTATAACATGCCGTTCATAAAAATTCTTCAAACAATTTACAAAAATTCCATCTACAAAAAAGTATAGATTAACATACGATCGCGTAGAAGAATGTATTACCTACTAAGTAACATATTAATTTACTGAAACGGTTAAAATCTTCACGATTAAAATTAATATATCATCGTACTGGCAACTGATTATTGTAAAAAATAAAAATCAGTGTGAAGGTATCGTTCAAACTTCCATGTAATGTTCATAGAACCCAATTGAACACCAATGGTGGTAAATATTGATTAGTATTTGTAACCTTGATCATGATTTTCTTCATGATGGCTGTTATCTGGCACCCACACTTTTTCCCAAACGGGTTTCCAAATTTGTTTCCATGCTGGCACTTTAACTTCTTTTTTTTCTGGTACCCATCGGCTCTTCCATTCTTCTTTCCAGATCTCCTTTTTCTCCGTAACCCAAATTTGTTTCTTATGAGTTTCAGTAGCCTGGACAGACTGTTCTTTCCATATTAATTTCTTTTCAGTATTCCATACTTGTTTTTTCTCAGTTTTCCAAACTTTCTGCCAATCTTCTTTCCATACAAGTTTCTTTTCATTCTTCCACACTTGCTTCTTTTCAGTTTTCCAAATTTTCTTCCAAACTGGTTTCCAAATCAGCTTCTTTTTCCAAAGATCGTGACTAGTATATTGCCAACCATTTGCGTCAGTACCAAGATGCTTTTCTCCGGGAATTCCAATTTTCACCCATTCTGGTTTATAGACTTTTTTCCATTCAGGCACTTGAATTTCTTTCCATTCTGAAGTTTGAACATTCTTCCATTCTGGTTTCCATACTTTTTTCCATTCAGATACTTTAATTTCTTTCCAAGCAGGAACTTGAATTTCTTTCCATTCGGGCTTTTGGACCTTTACAAAGAATATTTAGATATTATGTATAAGTAAAGTTTGTTATTTATAAATATAATAATAATTCTAATTAATTTAAATTATAAGTTAAACGGTTTTTACTGTTTGTCAAATGGTTGTAATAGTGAGCATGAAGATAAATTTATCATAATAAAAAATTAACTAAAATTTCAGTACTTGACTCATTCCACTTTCTCGTAAGGAAGTGAAATTTATTGATGTAAGTATTGCCAACACTTATTGCTTGAAAAAACATACCTTCTTCCAAACAGGTACTTGAACTTCTTTCCAAGCTGGCACTTGAACTTCTTTCCATGCTGGTACCTTCACTTTTTTCCATTCTTTCTTCCAAGTCATTTTGGTTTCAGTTTTCCAAATTTTAACCCATTCAGACTTCCACGACATTTTCTTTTGCCAAGATCCAGAAGGCTTTGGGGGTCCATACTCAGGAGCCGGAGGGCCATATTGAGGAGCTGGGGCGGCAGCAGGTGGACCGTAAGAAGGGGCTGGAGGTCCATATTGGGCAGCTGGTGCCCCGTATGAAGAAGATGGCGCTTCGTATGAAGAAGACGGTGCTCCGTATGAAGAAGATGGTGCTCCATATGAAGGGGCGGGTGCTCCATATGAATTAGAGAGTCCTGAACTACTAGAGGAATGACCACCACTTCCAAAAGGAGTACCATAGCTACTTGATGGTGGAGATGGGGCACCATATGTATCGCTAGGAGCACCATAACTCGAAGATGGGGCTCCATAAGTCTGTAATGGAGCTCTAAAAAAATAAAGATTATTTCTGTAATTTTATAACAGCAACAGTTTTTTAATTAAATAAAATTTCACTATAGACGAGCAAGTAACAAAAAAATTAAAGAAATCTAAGAGTTTAATAAATTTATCGACTTCCAACGGTGTTCAGCTTTGTTAAAATGTGTTTATAAAATACATTATATAATACATTTTTTTACATTAAAAAGTATCCATACAAAATATTTACATTGTACACTCTTCGCATCTTTGAATCACAAATCCCTCTGAAATGTGCACGCCTTTGAAAATGCGTGATAGACTGTTTTATAAAAAAATTGAAAAAGTGTATATGTATTCTCTGATTGATTTAAAAAATTAAATTCTGATTGTTTTGAAAAATGTCATTGGGACATTTTTATGGCTATAAATGTGAAATTGTATACAGGCAAACCCCGTTATTCGCGATTTTCCGTATTCGTTATACCCCTTTTTATGACCCAACTTCAGTATTCGCGGTATTTTGTTTTCGTATTCGCAGTTTTTTCGCGCATTAATTAGAAAAAATTTTTTAAAATTTTTTTTAAAATATGACTCGTCCTTTGGAAAAAGTATCGATTACAAGTGTAAAGAAGAAGAACAATAAAGTGTTGAATTTCTTGGCACAAATTTCAATTTTAGATGCTTATTACCTATTATAATGCAAGATAATTCGCATTCAAAATGAAGCAAAAAATATGGATAATTTCAATATTTGTTGAAACTTGATTGATACATTATTTTACACCTATTAATCATTTCAGGTTTTATTACTGGTGTGTCCCTATAACAATTTTTTGTTCCTGACATTTTTCCGCTAAAGTCATTCTTTTTGAATATAAAAAACCACAAAGAATTTTAGCAGGAGCGTATATCATTTTTTAAATGGTCTCTTAGACCCATTACATTAAACTAATAGCTTACTGTTGAATTAAACTGATTAATAAGTGTGAAGGGCTCTATAATCGAGTACCATGAACCACGCCAAAATTTTGGCAAGGATCTATGATCCGTACTCGAAATGGTTTCCTTGTCAGAGTTGAGATCGTCACTGTAAAGACGTAGTTATAATATAAATATAAGGGTTGGTGGTGAGTCTCTATTTCTTTAGATTTACATTTTTTGCTTTCTGAAGACACTAACAAAACATGACAACCATAAACGACTATGTTTTAAAAAATAATTCAAAATGACTCAACACTATTTATTCTTAATACGTGTATAATTTGTATAAGAACAATCTTTTACAACTGCCATTATTGAAAAAAGAATTGATTTTGAAACTTACTCTCTCTTTACAAGAGCGGTGGGCACTCCACAAACTGAGGCGATGAATAGGCATCCCAGCAAAATCTGCAACACAAAGACAACCGATTCATCAAATTGAAAAATATTAGCATCTGCATATACAATTATATGTGTAGGAAATTAAACGTGAAAGGCATAAGTGTGTTGAACGAGGATCGAAAAGAAAGTGAAAACGTTGTATACGGATGATAAATTCTTTGTGCCATTTAATAAATGCGATGATATTAGCGTTGAGAAAGAGAGGATAGATGTTTACAAGCATTTACACATAAATAAAATCTCATCGGTTCATTGATCCCTACGCGATTCGAAAGTGATTCGATCTTCTCGTAGTGTTACCCTAAATAGTCGAGTAAAACTTCAACGCTGTTTCTTGCATTTTTATGTTCGTAAAATTTTGTGGATGTAAACAGCCATTTATGTTTTTATGTTAAATACTTCGCTAGCTCTAACTATCGTAATAATTTAAAATTTATTCGATTGATTATTGCAGTGGAAAAAACGTGTCTGTAATTACTTTCTTCTAATGCTGAGTTATATTGATGTTGAGTAGAAGTAGTATAATTAAAGTGAAAAATTTGGTTTTTTCATGAATTTAGTTGATCATCGTTTGGTAAAAAAAGCCTTGCTGCTTACTCATGGACTTATAAATAAAATCCTATGCCCTCGACGGTACTATTATATAAAACGACCATGCACATCAATAGCAGAACTACATGCACATAATAGAGGAAGTATCGAACATGTATACATAATGGTTCACCCATTCTTCAAAGTCACAAAGACAATCGCCTTAATTGGTAACACATATTGCGCTGTACTGCGCATAGCCAATGCATCTTGAGGACTTTTAACTACTGTGCGGCAGAATTTCTAACAACTGCAATTTTTTCGCTTAGGATAAAAAAAGTATGTTTTACTTTAGAAGATTACAAAAGTCTCGCATTTTTTGCGTGAAGAAAAACGGCGTGCTTCCGCATAGTGCGCAGAATGCACATCCTTCTCTTATTATTTACCAATTAGATGATTTGGCAAGCAGAAGCCTCAGCAGTAGCACAAAGAAGGCGCGCGCGCGCGATAGGGCGTCCTAGAAATAAATGTGTACGTGTATGTGTGCAAAATAACAGAAAGCAGTGAAAGTGAGTACACATAAGAAGTGCTTAGGATACCGGTTGGTAGATTATTACTCGATCTAGAGCTCTCTATCTCCTAGCCATGAGTGCATACATTACGTCAGTTGTATTGAAGGAGAGCTTGAAAAGAGAGAAATCATGCATTAAGTAATACTTGATATGACTAGCAAATATAAATTTGAATTATATACTTGAAAAATTTGCTTTTGACCTCTCTAAACATTTCATAGCTTGTTTAAAAAAAATATCGGTTTAATAAGCCTTACGAAAATCAATTTAATTATCGTCATTCCCGACACTGACTTTCTCTGAACTTAATGAATCCTGAAAATGTTTGCTTTTCAACGTATTTTTATAATGGTTAACTAGTCGAGAGTTTTTTTTTAATTAGCATATTTAAAAGAAATAAAGTTTTATGTTTTTCATTTTTAGCGACACTGATTAAATGATGAAACAAATGTATAAAAATTAGAAAATTAGTGTTGCGCAGTTTAAAATTGACCAATCCTGTTCTTGGAAATCCACATTAATATTCAAACTTTTTTGACCGAGAGTAACCTAGTTGATGGTTTTCTTTTCAAAGACGTCCAATATTCACAAACCACAAGGTATTATAACGAATCTTCATCTCAATCATTATTGAAATTATAACACATTATATTCAAATTTAGTATTTGAAAGAAAGTTATACTTTTATTGATAAATTAATTCTGAATTTTCAAAAAATTTGATAAATTTTAATTATTTTAGAAAAATTTACTTAAACAGTTGACAAATTTTTAATTGGTAACAATTTTTTGAGATCTAAACTGGAATACGCATATATTAACTTCGAAAAGGTGATAAAACAATATTTTCTTTGAAAATATATCTTCGATTAATATAATTGTGATTGTTGAAATCAAATAGATAATATTTTTAGAGAACAAATAACTGTCGTAACAATTACTTACTTTTTCTTGAATCGCGAAAGATTGTGATCTTTTCTTTGTTTACAGTTCTTTAAACGAAAGAAATTTTGTAAGACTTAACAAAGTATATCTTCACAAAATTTCGAAAGCTTAAAAGCATTATTTTCTTATTTTTAACTCTTTCTCAAGTCTCAATGAGATGAAACTATCGTAGTTAAAAAATAATTTATCAAAGTCTTTAAATTGTTATTAATGCAGATATTTGGTAGAGAAGCAATTTTATTGAAAGCAAAGTACCAAACTTTTATCTATTGAGTTACAACATAGTTAATACAAAGAAAGTAAAGATTAAGAATTTCTATGTAAAAAAAAAGTATTAGAAAAGATATTTAGTTGGGTGACATTTTTTAGTTGAAAGTTCATTATTTAAGAAGATGGATTCGAATTTTACGTGAAGTATTTTTTAAATTGGTTAAGTTTTGTCGATTAAAACCATTGCCACAAAATAAAATAAATGTTTTCCAATTGAAAGTTTTCAATATTTTGAAACTAATTGAGCTTTTTCATCAATGATTTGATCAAATAGCTTTATCAGATCACAGGCGTAAGGCAAAAGCTCTAAAATACATGTGCTTCAGCACCACTGCACTTGATGACACACTATAATGAATTTATGTTCGCACACGATAGAGAAATCACTTGCTAAAATCGACAACAAATATTGAAAACTTTTATGGGCAACACTTTTGAAACTGAGTTAGACACTAACCAGACCGAAGAAGCGCATCTTGCCGGCTCGCGACTCGATCGCAGTCTCTTGGAAGATCGATGCACACCTTAACAACTCTACAGGCGCAGAGAGTCGTACATGCACCCGATTCGTTTGTTTGGCTGTATCGATTTATCAGCCCCACGGGAAGATTTTCAGGAGTCGTCTGGTGAATGAAGCTAGCTCGTCGGTGCTTATATATACGGAGCCTCCTGGGCATGGAGTCCTCTGCGAGCGAGCCGCAGGTGGGGCACATGTATAACCATCAGGTGCTTATCCATGCGGGGCTCTTTTTTTTTCCTCATCCTCCTTACAGCCACCGCCGCTATTTTAACTTTTCGGAAGGTGGGAGAGGCGGGCCGAGGATGTTCCTCCTATAGTCCGATTGCGAGGCTGCAAGCAGCGGTGGCGGTGAGAAAGCACATACGACGCGAGCTGCGCGACAGAGAGAAAGAGAGAGAAAGAGAGAGAGAGAGAGAGAGCAGGCAGACCCACGCGCTTGTATCTTTTTCAATTGTGCGCGCTTGCCGTGATACGCGGCGATATATTCGCGTGGAAGGTGAGAGGTCCTACCGAAATCGACCAGTAAAACCGACTGCATAACAGCCTCGCCGCCGATCTGATCCGGATCATGTAATCCTCGGCGAGCGGATCCTTTGCGTGCCAATGAGTCACGTATATCTCCTTATTATGGCTACCTTTTCAAGCATCTTTATGGTCCTTTGTTTTTTTTTCTTTAACGACGATCTTTTCTCATTCGTTGCTCAAGAGATAAGTAAGTGTACCAGGGAGTTAAAATATCGAAATTATAATTAGCTGTCGCCCCAAGCTACTATTTCACAAAAACAAATCGATAATTACAATAAACACTAGATCTTTCATCTCGATAATAATGATCGCAGGATCAGAGGGTCATTCAGCTTGTTTCAGTTATGACAATCCATGCAAAAAAAGTAGATCATCGCTCGGTGATGATCGAGTACGATAAACTTGACGGCGTTGAAATTTTCCATCGAAAGTTGGACGCTTCTCGTTAATGGTACCTGTAAAGATTCCTCGAGTACGATGGCATGAGCTACTAAGCGTTGTGGTCAGTACACATGACTCTTTTTTCTTTGCAAAATGTATACACAGTACAGAGAGCGCTTAGTTTTGAAATTTCTGATTGACGTGAGCCGTATTTATGCGCGGAGAAAAAGTGCGCGAATATTTTGACACTGCAATAGCTTTGAAAGTGTCAATAACAGATGTGATTGGAATCGCTCTTGACTTATATCTTTGCGCCTGTTTCTTCGTTGGAGTTTAATTTTTTTGCGCAATGTACCACGGTGTTTTTTTTTGACACATACAGATTCATTTATGATCGGAGCAATCGACCCAGATCACTCGACTAATCATTTTTACTGAATCGATAGTTTGGAAACACTCGTGTACTACCTCGCGTAAATTCGAAACATTTAACGCACTAAGATCAATCGCTTATAAGTAGAATAAACGTCATGTCAATGCGATCAGGAGTATATATAGTATCCCATAGCTCCATTACGAAGTGCGCGTTCGTTTCGTCATTCATTAGGCATAGTTGAGGCTTTTTTATTTCATACGCATCGGCGCAGGAAAAAAAAATACGAAAAAAAAGTTGATGAAAAAAACACGGCTGTATAGGACAATGTAAAGGCGTGTGAGTTTGGAGAAGTTCACGGACGCGTAACACGCAAAGTTTAAGTTGCACTCGCTCGTGCTGATGGGATTATTTCAAGTCTATTTTATTGCTAAAAATAAAACTCACAGTTGTGCCATTGAGAAGACTTGCATCCTTGGCTTCTTCACTTTCATTTGATGGGAAATCAGACAATAATGGTCGTATTATCGACAGACCGTAGTGATTCTTTTCCCACCACTTATCGGTGATAATTATGTTGTTTAATTACGCGTAGCTTTACAAATAAGGTGAGGTTAATAATTATTGTACGATCACACTATAAGCCGTATAACGAGAAATGTATTATATTAAGATTATTTTATCATGATGGTGCAGAATCAAAAATAAAATTCATGAAAAATATTTTCTTTAAATCTGCCATAAACCAAAAAATAACTTCATAAAATGAAACAAATTTAAGCTTTATATTTTTATCAATAAATTGCCTAGTTTATAAATATACCGATGAATACTTTCTCTCGAAATTGTATAAATAAACATCCATTCATGGAGGAGCTTACGTTGAATGGTGAAAAGCATGTTAAAGTATTCTTTACAGACCTGATCACATTTTTAATTTAAGGTAGATGACTAATCATAACAATTCATCGGCACGATTATACAATTTTAATCTTCGAGCTATCGTGCAGAAGACTTTGCACGAATTGATAAAAAGTTGATTAAACCAACTGGTCGGTATACAGCACAGACTCGAAAGATTACAAAATTTCTCCGCGGAAAAATGTCCAAAACGATCAAACAAAACATTCTCCTCGACTCATTCGTGTCAAAAAATGCAAAATCCTCCTCCAGGCCGGTGTGTAAGTCGAAATCAAAGGAGTTGAATAAGCTCGCGCGCTTGCGCCCTCCTGTAACCGTGCTAAAAGGACTACTTTTGCAATAATCCAAGCGTATAATGTAATCGCATCGGAGTGTTTTATTTTTCTTTGGTCGGCTCGGCTGGTGCGCGCACGATCTTTTGTGAGGTAACAGCTTGCGCGAGAGAAAGGAGAATTTGTCGGCAGTGAGAGGGGTGACACCTTTCCTAAGGAAGCGTCGCGCAATACTTTCACTCGGTGTATTATTATAGCGACTGGGAGTATCTTTAATGTAGAGGTGCAGCGTTAACATTGGGCCATGGCGATATTGTGCTTTATCGTGCGTTAAACTCAAGCTACAAGTGCACATACTTTTGATTTCATTCACGTACGATCCCGCGCCGTGCGCGCGCGTATGTGTGTGCGTAGGCTGGTTGCGAAGTAGCAGCCTCGCTACAGGTTGCTCGTCGTTGATTGTGTTTGACTTTAAAATAGACTCGCATACAGTCGCGATGATGACTTTTCCAAGCGTCTCTGCGCGTGGAATCGCCATTAGCTTTGGATATGCGTGGATGGACGCGATCGGTGTAGCGCGCCAAATGATGCATCGCGTACTTACAGGCGATCGCCGCGCACATTATGCGACCAGCCTTATGATGCGATCGATGTTTGGCATGCCTTGCCCATTTCAGGATCGTTAAGATTAGTATTTTTTTCCCTCATCGTGCCAACTATGGCTCATCGTGGACAAAAAATTGCAGCGCGCAATGCGAAAGAAGCTCCCATCGCCTGGTTCTATGTTGCACGTACCGCGGCGACTCGCGAGGCTTTCTTGGCTCTCGCCGATACATAAAGTGCTTTCTATCTTTGGCTTTCTTGTGTGCAGTGCGGATGATATAATAGCATGGCGACGCGCAGCACTGTGAAAATTATTTTTATTCTTCGCATGTTTGTTTGTATAAATTAAATTTCAGAGAGAGAAAGAGACGGGCACATAAAAATGCAGCTTTAAAAGTACGAGCGTAATGAGACTCGCGCTGAAAAATCGATTGCAAAATTTCGATATGGATATTTTATTCTCTTGTATGCTCGCATATGAAAAATTGTCGCTCGAGCTTTCTCGCGATTACGCGCGCAAAATATCTCATACCTTTCGAGCGATTAATTCTTAACAATTAGGAGCTCAAAATTAATGTTTGATGGATCCCGCGTCGTGTAGATGTGTGCACGAGTCCACGCGTTTCCGATAGAGTAAATTTGCGTGAACACATGATATACGTAGCAGCGCGTCGGCTCACTAAACGCGCCTTTATACACCTTGACAGTGATGGGGACGTAATTACTGCGCCGAACGCGCGCCTCAATGTCAATGCGTAATCAAACGCACACACGCACGCACGTGAATTTACTTTATAATACCGCGCATTAATAGTACGGGCAAACAAGCCACCGACAGTGTCGGGATGCGCGCTTGTCCGGCGCGCGTTATACGACCGCGAGAGAAAGTATAAACTTGAATGTATATACTCGTTCGTCGTGATTTTTTTTTCCTTCATTTTTCAAAAGCGCCTAGCGATGCATATTCAAGGTGACGGCGCGTGCAGCGAAGCTTATGTTGCATGCGTGCGCCGCCGCTGTCCTCGGTACCAAAGCGACTATACGCGTATCATCGGCTTCCAAAATTTTTCGCAATCGCGCGGATTTTTTCAGAGAAAGTATATATTACAAGTGTGCTGCATTATTGTCTGCTCGTGAAACATCAATTATCGTACATAATGGTCTTTTATTACTTGCCCTGACGTAACTTGAACTTTTGAATAATCCTTATTACTTCCTATCTGCAAAAGTATAAAATGTGCCCGATGTGAAAAAATAAGATTTTATTAACCTTTACTTGACACACTGGGGCAGAATCAACCCCACGCTTTTTCTACGTTTTTTTAAAGTATCCAAATCAACAAAAATTAAATCTATTGTTAAACATATTTACTATCAATATTTCAATATCAAACTTATACAGTCTTCAAAATAAACTTTTCAAAAGTTCGTAAAAAAGTTTCAAATAGAAATATTTAAGAGATTATTTATTTATTAACAATTCATTTGATAGGGGCACAGAAAAACCCCAGTGTGTCAAGTACGTTACACCAGGAAAATGTGTCAAATAAAGGTTAATTCATTAGTCGATTTAGAACTAGCTCTAAATAGCAATGCTTTACTCTTTTCATGTTATTAGCTCCTTATTTGTGCCTTGGAATCATTTTTTAAATTTCAGAATTTTTAATAGTACGTCATTATAATAATTCGCAGTGAAATTGTTTTGTAAACATGATCTAAAAGTAAGCATGCATACAAGATTTGAGGAAAACCATTCACATAACATGAAAACAATATAAGTTCTAGTCTATCTAACGCAATATATATCTTAACTATTCATCTTAAGAAATTATTAGCTAATTTAAGTAAAATCTAAAAAAAAAAAAAATTCAAAGATACGC